TTATTATTATTATTATTATTATTATTATTATTATTATTATTAATGATAGATAAAATCGCACTAAATCTAAACTGATTACATTAACTAAGTCAAATATACAGATTAACATGAAGAAGTACCAAAACTTTTTTCATTTCAGGGTATCTATCACATTGAATTGTTTAGATCACTTCTAAGATAATATTTCATAACATTAGTAGTTTTTTTTTAAATAGAAAAACAAATTATGTTTTTCAAGTGAAAATAATATTATCAGAAGGGGTTTGTGGAGATTTTAGAAATTTCACAGATTGTAATCATGAGTCAATTGAAGCTAGACCACCATGAAAACCTAAAAGCACTGGACATTAACACCATTGGATCCCGGCTCAGTGGTCTGGTTGGTTAACCGCTTGACGCGAGACTGATAGGTCCTGGGTTCAAATCTCGCGGGGTGCGGGATCGTGGATTCGCACTGATGAGGAGTTCCATACTAGGACGAAACGGTCGTCCAGCGCTTCCAGGTTTTCCATGGTGGTCTAACTTCAAATGACTCATGATTTCAATCTGTGTAAATAATATTAAACAGAGAGAAAAATCATTAAAAAGTTAATATGAAACATTTGAAATTATTATTATTATTATTTTAAAAATAAAAAAATCACCATAATGCACATTCCTTTCACACAATTCATTATTTTAAAAAAAAGAAAAAAAGGTGAAAGATACAAAATTATTTTTTTCAAGTTACATAATTTGCAAAAGAAAAGGTATGAATCTCAAATGATTTTTTATAAAATAACACTCCTTATAGACAATGTTTACTCTTTTTTTCTCTCTAAAGTTTACTTTATTACATCTAAATTCTTTTTTTTTTAAATAAAGAATGTATCATGATAAATTTTGTTTTTGTCGTTTGTTTGTTTGTTTCTTTTTATTTAAAAAAAAAATTATTATTTTTGATTTTTCAGATATTTTTGTTGATGTTTTGATTCCTAATTTGCTGAGTTTTTTTTTATAAAAAAAATCAAAACAAAACAAGATCATTTAGTTTATTAATTAGTTGTTGAAAATAAAATGTTTGAATGAAACGTTGTTTTTTTTTCATTTTTTTGTTGGAGTCATAGTAACACAATGATTTATTTCAATTATGTATTAATGTATCTAGTTAATTTTATCATTGTTTCTTTTATTTATCGATAGTAATAGTGAGTTTGATCATTTATAATGTAGATTTAGTTAAAAATGTATGTTTGAATCAAATTATCATACCATATTAAAATAATGAAATGAAATAAACAAGACGAATAGTAAATAAATCAAAATCATGTAGTAGCAATAATAATGAAAAAGAAAATTTCATTTGAAATGATAGAATCGAAAGTTTCGCATGATAGAAAAGCTAGTCTAAAGGAAAATATAAAAAATGGATGCATCTGTACAACTGCAACTAATTCTGAGTTATTTTATTCAATAATATTTAACCAATGATAGTGAGGACAACAACCATGTATTTTGCATCTACTAATATGATATCAGAAACTGAAGCCACGTTCTGTTTAAGCTGCCTCTAGAATTTTTCAAAACTAGTTTTACACTAGCTAATATAAGCTGTCAAGGTAGACAATAGTCGAGGACATGTTGCACTTGTTTCAATCACATCGGTCGATGAAATCTCACAACCTCACAAACTGATTTTCTATCTTTACCCAGTATTCTATTTCTAGCCTCAACATTGCTCACTTGATATTCACAACACACGAGACACCCATGAGTAAGTAATAGAAACCTATGAAAACCTAATATTAAAGATCACGTTTCGTAGACAGAAATTAAAACAGAACGAACTGTAACGTAGTATACTTGACCTTTAGTTACCAGATAGATATCTTATGCCGTGAGTGAATAAGTTGACTATGGTAAATTAAGCTCTCTGAATCCGTTTAGAGATCTTATCGAGCATCGATCAACCAGGGTTTTGACCTCTAAACAAGTGAATTGGTTGATGTATTCAACTATTTCACTGTGTTACCAGTTGAGGCATTGATATAAACCAGTCCTGAAGTAATATTTCCCATCTGAAGAAAGAAAATCTCATCTCACAGATGCTTGCATTTTTATTCAAGGAGATCAGAAGAATCTACGTTTTGTCAGTGTCTTTACTAAATAAGACTATTCTAAGTAGATAATCGAACCTCCAGATAGGGGGTCGACTCGTAGAAATTTATAGAAATACACCTACGGGGCAACTTAGTAAAAAGGGGACAGTAGATAACCCCGACGAACGTACTTAAGGTTGACAGTCATTGTAGCAAATAACCACAAGCTTTTAATGGACCAGGAGTGTTTGGGCAGAGACCCTTCACAAAGTTTAAATATTTCTTTTCTACGCCTTCCAATTTCAAGCACTGATACAGAACCTCATTTGATTAAAATTTTATTCTAAACGGAATTCAGTTCGAAAACCAAGAAGGATCTGACATCTGCACTCCGAAATTTATGTACAGATGTCATGGGACGTTTTACATATCCCAACAAACAAAATGCTGCTTATTTGCAATCCGGTAGTACACTTTTAAGTCATTTATGATATAGTCAATGGATTACTGCCTGATTCCTGACTTCAAGTTTACTTTTTCTTATTGAACAGTAGTCAAATATTAGTAAAGTCATCTGTATTCTAGTCGGATATACAGAACATTCTTATTAACAGGATGTAGTCATTGATCATACCATGTATTTAATCATAAGCATTCATTCAAATTATATGACATATTCATCTGAATACACTTTGGTACAAATGGGCACTAAAACAAATATGCGGTCCTTTCGGGGGCCAACTAAATACTGAATCGCCCAATGACATTCTGAATGAAGTGTTGAAGAAATTGTGTTCAAATTCATTAGAGGGTGTTATTCAGTTATTAGCGCGATCACCTTCCCATTGGACCACCAAGGGATATCGAATTAATAACACTTACAGCAATTTGATTATAATGTGTATATAGTTCGGCCATTAATAAACAACTAAGGAATAGACTAACAAAGCAATCCGAAACTTCTGCATTTTTTTTTCATATATGTTTAGACTGTTCGACATATCCACTTTTTGATATTAGGCCCACTTATTAAATTTAAGATGGATTTCTTAAGCATTGCTATATTACGTGAAGGGGGGTTAATGATATAATTAGTTCAACGAAACAAACTTCACGATGAAAATAAGGAAAAAAACTGATGCGTAGAATTTGTTATCCCATTCGTTCCAATTATCCTTGATATTTTACTATTTTACTAATCCACTACTCATAAGTACTCAGAATTATCCAGTAAATATTTGGCTAAAGTAATTTATTGATGTGATTATTCGGAAACCACTATTCATTGCCTTTTGAAAACCGATCCCTACTAAGTTCTTTTTGCTTCACGGACCCTATGAACATTATGAAAATGAAGGTATCGAACTGGTTGCTTGAAACTATCTTGAGAAGTATATCAAGCTTTGAGCATGTACATGTTTCAATAATTGAATGTTTTAGTTATTTTTGTAGAATCTAATAACTGTAGTTGAGATTGAAGTGAAAACTGCCATCGGGAGGACTTTGCTTCATTGTTGAAAGTATTTAACCAGTCAGCTTTCCTCATATTGGTTAATTAATCAGAAGTCATCAATGTAATCTTACTTATTCCTTACAGTAGACTGAATTATATCAACGTTAGGCAAAACGACTTAAAAGTAAGCTGGTTATCATGAAGCTAATAATGGTTCCGTATTTGATTTTGCGACGCCAGCTCTAAATGACAGAGTCCATTTTTGAAGGGACATGAACCAATCACTTGGTCATTATCAACACAGCCTAGTACAAGTGTGCATAGGCCCAAGTTGTATCATAAAAATACACAGATGAGATTAAGAAAACAAATAACAAAAGCTTCAGATATAATTAAAAAGACTAAACATTTGGGGAATACAATGCGGAAGGAATGAATTCAAGGAATAGCAGTTATGAAGTAATGTTAGAACTCAGGGAGAGAGATTCCTAAGCTTTTTGTGATTATGATTCGACATTAATTGGTTAGTTCGCATAATTCTAGTGATAAGTTTTACATATGAATGTTCATATTTACACAAACTATAAATTTCATACTATTAGTTCATCCTGTAAGAATGTAGTGAAGATTTATGAAACACAAACTGCCGTTTATAAAACTTAATGGGACGAAACAGTTCATATTTTGATACCTTATCGCATCAATGAAACCTTGTTACTATTCCCATTTCTTTATAGCTACGTAACACTAACTGTTATTTACATAAATAAACTCTCTTCAAAAACTACTCGACAGTTAATCAGGACTTGGTAGAATTGGAACAACCAGAAATTAAGATAAAATAACACAAAGTAAATTACCAACTGAACAAAGTGTTTCAGTTACATCAATGAAATTATATACAGTTTGTGAATAGAAGAAATATATCGATGACAAGCAAAGGAGCAACTTAAGAACTTATTAACACAAAATTATTCGAAAAATAAAGTGAGGCACCTTCTAAAATGTTACATTAGCATTTTCAATCTAATAGATGGCTAAATAAATAGGGATGTAGATATCCAGCTTCACCAAACTGACAAAAATATGATATAATGATGCACCACAAATTCTGGCAGAACCTCAAGGTGCATAATGAACAATTTTATCGCAGTAAGCTTTGGAAAGAATGAAGATCAAAAATCAACACAAGTGTTTTAACGTAAACGAAAGTTTATAATTACAAGGTACAGTGATGCTGCGGAAGCAACTTTTGGGACAGATTTTTAGTACAAATAAACCTAAGTCAGCAGTGGAAGTACAGTGTATTGGGTGCTTGAGCAGTCTATTCGCTAAAGTCAAGATCAAGTAAACAAGAGAAAGACAGTCGTCTATACATCACAAGTAATAATGGCATTGAATTCACTGAAAACTGGAAGGCACACCTAGCTGCTGAATCAACCATTCAATTTACTTTTGAGAAAAACTATCTAGTAACTGTCATTTAAATTAGCAGGGTTATCATGGGTTTTGTCTGGTTTGTTATTCGACATTTCAGAAGGCGATTCTTCGTCAATTTTCTGAAAAGATTCACACTCATTGAAGTCTGAGGGAGTTGATTCTGGTGAAAAGCGACTGGCAGTAAAATGAGGTTTTTGTTTATTACGCATACTTTCAAGGTATTCACGTCTGGACTGTTCCATGACCATAGCAACCAAATCATCTTCCTCCATTCCTGTAAAAACATAAGCAAAAATATTCTCAAGAAATATGAAGAGATATATAACATTTTCCTACAAAATACTTAAATTATGCTGTCTACGGGAATATAAATTCCCAAAATTGCGCGAAAATATTTAGAAACACAAGTACTAGAATTTCATCCTCATAATTACAAAATATTAATAGAACGTGGCTAAGGTTTTATTGTTCCAAAGTACAAAACTTGAGGCAATGAAGTGGTAAGAAATCCTCTACAAAGCAAAATGGCAGAACAATTGACTCTGAAGAGTACTGATATATCTGAGGTAGTTGGACTGACAATTTGATCAGGAAACCAAGTAGAATTCAGAAGACAGAAACACTTGTTGGCTGAGTATGTAGAAATACATTAGGGAACTATATACATTCAGCTAAAATACTATAACTAGTGATTACTCGATAGTCATTCAATAAATAATCAAGGACGAAAGCCATTAACAAATCAACATAAAAATTGAGATAAATACCGGTCAGATTAAGTCACCATGCCAAATCACCCTTACAGCATTAAGCAAGAAGCGATCAAATAGTCGATCCACCATGTCTCTAATACAATCTGCACATTATGACGATAGATATTACTTTATAAGTCGTTCGTAGCAAAATTACGAACGAATCTGTACAACAATGGTCTTACTTTAGAATAACAGGACTACATCACTAGCCCATGAAATCCTGGACTGGTCTGCTGCGCGGGAAAAGGCAAGTTTTCTGACGAGAGATTAATTGCGGATCTTAACTGACAGGTCGAAATTGATATAGGTGCATATATCCACTACTCAAAACTTGAAGCTTAATGTCACTTCATGTTACTCGCTTTTCAATTTTATTGGTTGCGTGTAGACTATAGTTCTTGTTTGGTTACCCAGCACTCTTGACATCACTACTGATCCTTTATTTTGTATCGTGACTTCCCTTTACGATGCCGGAACAATTTTCACCGATATATTTGGGATACTTTTATCCAACCTAGTAATAGTTCTTGCACTGGGATGAGATATTTTTTGAGGGAGCTAAAAACACTAACTGACTGCCTAGATCGAAGTAGGTAGGAATAAAATCGAGTCTGTGACACAACAGTTCATTAAGGTATATTGTTCCTATATATCTGTCAAGTTAACAGAACACCAAGTTTCGCATATTCTTAAATAATCAGGTCAGTTATTTGACCAGAAAGTCACTTCTAACCTTGTCCTTCGAAGACTATGAAATTCCTCTAGTAAGGAAGTTACGCCAATGTATTTACAGCCTGTGGAAATATCAGTACGTTAGAATATTGTGAGGATCTAACCCAGTATAAATAACTTCATCTCGAAGCCACAAGTTTATATGAGATTCATACTTTTAAGTAAACCTGATGTTTGTTTACATTTAGTGTGGAGATGGGTTTACCTTAAAACGAGTCTGGCATAAACTGAGGGATAATATGGATCCAAATTCACACTTCAAGAAGGAGCGGACATTCCGTACACACCGCGCAGTGTACAAGTGAGTTGGAAGCTAGACGCAATCAAACCAAGACACGACATCAGCCCATAAAGTCATTGTGGTCTGAAATATATTAATGGATGGATGCAGTTTATCTTATTGGGGTTCGCTCAACAACCGCGACCATTGGTTGAAAACTTTAAATGGCATTTAGTGGCGCAGGTTCATCCACCATTTATCTACCTCTCGACACCGAATGCTAGTATCCTTCTATATATACCTTTCCATTCTCCCTTTCCGAACCATATTTCGGACGTTTAACCCTTCGCGTTATCATCGCTACTATATTATTTAGGTCTTTTTGCAGCTCAAGAACAGATAGCATTGTTTCAATACGCCAACTAAATACTACCAATAAATTCACTACTGGAATTAGTGTCGACTTGACTGTAAATGCAGTTGGTTAATGGATGAAGTTAGTTAATTGTCAGTCTATCATATCCTGTGGATTTACTGTCCTGGTGGGAATGGAAATTGTTAGCAGGTACATATGTCGAAATACTAAGCTCAGCCCGCAATTTTGTTACCTGCCAGTTTTTCACGATCGACTAGTTCGAAAAAATGTAGTGAAATTGTTTAGGAAGATTCCTTAGCACTCCAATTTGAACTAGATCATATTTCTTTTACCCATTTGATAACCAGGACTGATGCAAAGTAACCGACAACACAGTTCAAGAGCATCATGAGACCATGAAACATTGACTACAAGCTGAATTAGTGCGTATTACGAAACTTCACACTCGTTAATCATGTAAACGACCGGAAACTTACCTAGCATATTGGGTGGGATATGACGCGAACCCAAATCAGTTTGAGAATGAGATGAACTAGGTAGCGGTTCATTTGCTGGATTTCTGTACTGTTTTGAATCGGGAACTGCGGCTTTTGATGAAGATGCCACGTCGAAACTTCTTGCCAAACCTGTAGGGAATCCGGAGGTTAATGTTGCTTCCCGCTGATCACCATGTAGGTCCAGATGGTCGGGTGTGGAAAGAGAGTTAGCTGAATCCCTTACCTTCTGCAAGATCAGAAATTTATTAGCATCCAAGACCGGAAACAAAGAAAGGGGTCCATAAATCAATTGTTTTTTACAAGTGTCTATACACGATATGAATAAATAGTTTGAGCAAAAAAACAATACAATTATGGAAAGACGCATATTTGCGTTTCACTATAGGTCACATACCCAATGTGGATTTCCTGCATGAACGCCCCTTATCTTAGAAACAAATCAGAAATAACCAGTAGTTCCGAGTCCTTGGATTATCCCACCTAATAATCCAAAACATCCAATACGGCAGAGAACAACAATCCATAATTCGCCAGAACAAGCGGACGGCGCCAATGGGCACTTAAGTATCTAAAGCCGGTGAATGGTCAAGTTTATGTCAACTCATTACTCATCGCGTTTCATGTTCACAATCAACTGCCTTAGTTTTATAAAGTAATCCACTTAGTCTCACTAGAGTCCAGTACATTAATCTATGACCATTATAATTACCGAGAGATAGTGAACGTGAGTTATCAAGTCCTCAACTTCAGAATCAGTAGCTATTATACCTTTAAGGGTTACATTTGTTGTTGAAATGGATCCTCTAAAATTCGAAATTCTTAAGGTTTTTCTATCTTAATACGATATTTACATAACTGGTAATTTTGTCGCTACCTCAATTGTGATGCACACCCTTCGTATTCAACTGGATGTCGGCAACACTAAGTTAGAGTAGAGTTTATTACTATTAACAAAGTGTGATATAGCTGTTTTATCTGCATAGTTCCAGTTTCAGCGTACGTACCGTCGCTGTTCTGTATGCATTTAGAAATTGTATGGTAAATATGCTGGTTTACAGCAACACAACTAAACATTTGAGACAGACTCGCTATCCACTTATTTACGAAAAGGATGATAGACAACTGCTTAGAAATAACACACACTGAGAACATGTCTACCAAATGTCAATTATAGTATTAAAACATACCGGTACTGAGATCTGATTGAAATAATCGAAATAAGATTCCCTGACAGCTTGGTCTTCAATACACCGATTAATTGCATCCTGTTCTGTTTCCGCTAATTTATCACGTAGCATAGCCTCTTCAAGGTGGGTACTTTCAGACTCTCTGATTGCGCAAGCAATAAGGTCTGGTTCAGCCAACTGAAAAAGGATTAATGGTATTATGGAAACATACACTGGGTTGGTAGTTAGGCATCCCTAGACCGTGACCAAATGAAGGGTTGAAAGGATCTACTATTGAATTATAGTGGACACGGCCATGGTAGCTTAGTCTGATAGGAAACTCCTTAGAATAGTCAGCATGGAAAACATTAATGGGTTCCACTGAACCATGGTATATTTCGACAGGTCTGTTGTATAGTTCTGCGATAGCCTGGATCTCCACATGATTTCCGTAACAAGAAGCATCTCTCTTGCGTGATATATAGTGATCGAAGTCCTCTGTCAAATACTGTGAAAAGTGCTCCTTGTTTTTCACCTTAAAAAATTTTCAAGGGAAAAGGAGTCGATAAGTTACCATGTAATCTATAACCTGCGAACGAACTAGATCGTGCTTCTCTTCATCACCGAATATTTGATGAGCTGTAAAATCTACATTAAAGAATAATAACCTACAAACACTACGGAACAAACAAGCACCATCAGATCCCACCTTAATTAACTTCCACCCTTTCTTTTCTGCTAACAATCGTTCAAGACAATCATCTGCAGGCTTAAACAATTAGAGTACGGTGGATAATAGCCTTACTTGGGTGGGTGAACCCCTTCGGCCTTGCTTCCCGAAATAGTATTCATCCTCACTGTTGTTGCCAGAGCCGTCATCTACCACATTGGGTTGAGGTATTACCTGGTTTGACTTATTTTCCCGTACATGTGGTCTGCATTCGCCAGCGTTAAGGGACTCATGCTGTTGAGATACCAAACGTTGGGGATGGGTGAAGGCCCCATGAGAAGGGAAAATGGATGCATCAATAGGGAATGGGTAGGTCAAGGGTGAGTGGGGAGCTTCAATATCTTGACTAATGTTGGGCTCATGGTGAGAACAACGGTGTCTGTTACGATGAGAGAGAATATCTTTACGTTCTTCACTATAAGGATACGGCTTATAGCCGAAACTATGTCGACTATTCGTAGAAGTCCCTGGCGGGTCTCTTTCAGACTTAAGTCTATCTTTTCGATTTTTTATGGTCATCCCAGACTGTTCGCAGGTTGTGTATAGTGAGAGTTTACCAATTATATCGTCAACAAGATTATCCAAACGAGAATCCGGAATATCTGAGTCGTCAGATGATTCTAGACTAGATCCGCCACCAGACGATAAACCGCCTTCAGACACCATTGCATAGTAGCGCCATTTCTCACTCGTCTGTAAGATGGTCAGTCCTATTTCGAACTGCTGTAAACAAATTTCATAAAACCACAGAAGAACTTTCCCATACTTTCAGTCGGAGTAGAGAAACGGAAAAGTTATGATGTTCAATGTACAATAACCCTAATGCTACCAATTGGACTCCATATTACAACGTTATGGATGATTTAACAGCCATTCTTGCATCTTAAAAGCGATTGTATGAAGCAAAGGATATTTTGGCGGATATAAACTACCTTGCAAGATACCCGTGTCTTCACATCACTGCTAGGCTACATTTCCACATCCTGCCCCATCTAAAAGTTGCAGTCTTTTATATAAAAAAAGAACCTTTTAGGAAAGAACAGTACAAAGAAGTATTTCAACACACCAAGTTTCGGTAATACACTAGTTAGGCCTACTTTTGCATCTCTGACCACGCTAAACAGGGAAAACCACTACTACAGAGAACGAAATTGAGCTCAGCAAATGGCTCAGAAAGGGTTCTTCCAGTGTCGATATCAAGCTCAGCCCGATGAACATAGTCTCTTTAACGTAAAGCTGACCTGGAACAGCTAAAAAGTGGTGCAACATGTGATCTGTAAATGGCAAGCCCAAATACCGGAAATATCTACACAATGACCAACACCGTTACTAGCCATCTCAGAAATCGTGGGGGTAAAGTTAAACAGTAGTCGAAACGATTCGAACACGAAAGGGATTCAGATGAGACAAAACCGGACAACACTGGTACACGAATCTCTTCTGTGAAAACATTCTGGGACTTAACAAGAAGATGATGGGAAGCTGCATCTGGCCGAAATATAATAGAACCACAACTCATGTCTTATAATCTGCCCCGTTACACAAGGAGTTGCTCACCAAAGCAGTTTGAAGAGTGATCTGACACGGATGTCTGCCTGAGCGTCTTCAGACAGCTGTGTGTCAAACTAACACGGTCAATTTCAATGGCGTATTATAGTGAACGAGAACACTAGTAGGGTCAACCAAATGTATTTGAGTTCAAAATCACAGAATCTCTTAGTAAAACCTGAGACTTACTTACTTACGTCTGTTACTCCCAATCGAGCATAGGCCTCTGACCAGCATTCTCCAACCCACTCTGTCCTGGGCCTTCTTTTCTAGTTCCATCGAATTCTTGTTCATTTTTCTCATGTCTATTTCCGTTTCTCGGCGTAATGTGTTCTTTGGTCTTCCTCTTTTCCTTTGGCCTTGAGGATTCCATGTGAGGGCTTGTTTTGTGACGCAGTTGGGTGCTTTCCTCAATGTTTGTCCTATCCACTTCCAGCGCTTCTTCCTGATTTCTTCCTCCGCTGGGATCTGGTTTGTCCTCTCCCACAGAACGTTGCTGCTAATAGTATCCGGCCAATGGATCTGAAGTATTTTGCGTAGACAATTGTTAATAAACACCTGTGTTTTCTGGATGATGGCTTTCGTAGTTCTCCAGGTTTCTGCCCCATACAGTAGAACTGTCTTGACATTTGTATTGAAAATCCTGACCTTGGTGTTGGTTGACAATTGTTTTGAGCTCCAGATTTTCTTCATTGTAAATATGCTGATCTTGCTTTGCCGATCCGCGCTTTCACATCTGCATCAGATCCGCTGTGTTCATCGATGATGCTGCCCGAATACGTAAAGGTTTTTACATCTTCCAAATCTTATCCGTCAATTGTGATTGGATTGGTGCATTCTGTGTTGTATCGGAGAATCCTGCTCTTCCCTTTGTGTATATTGAGACCTACTGCTGCTGAGGCTGCTGCCACAGTGTTCGTCTTCTCCTGCATCTGTTGTTGCGTTTGGGATAGGAGGGCCAGATCGTCTGTGAAGTCTAGATCATCCAACTGCATCTTAGATGTCCATTGTATCCCACACTTCCCTTCAGACGTTGACGTTTTCATGATCCAGTCGATCACCAGGAGAAGGAGAAAGGGTGAGAGTAGACAACCTTGCCTAACACCGGTCTTCACTTCGAACGACTTTGTCAACTGTCCTCCATGCACAATTTTGCAGTGTAATCCATCATATGAACTCTGTATGATATTGACTATCTTCTGAGGCACGCCGTAGTGTCGAAGAAGTTTCCATAGTGTTGTTCTGTCCACGCTATCAAATGCCTTTTCGTAGTCAATGAAGTTGTTCCTTCGTTCTCAGACCAGTTATTCTCTGTTTTCGTTCTCTTTTCATAGATCTTCTTAATCTTCCATCGCCAGGCATTTCACTTTCAGCTGATGATACATACTACTTGTATTTGTCGACATTAGTGGCACGCACAACAGTATGATTGCTATGATATTTATTGAAAGAATTGTTTAAAGCAACAGGTACTTCTTCACACCTATCTGGAGAACTATTTTAATATCCAGTAACTCGAAGAACTACGAGACCGTTAAAGATTTGTTGCGGTATATAAATCCCCGGAACCAATAACTCTGTAGGTCTTCAATATTTAGTGCTTACTGCATTAGTTTTACTGGGCTCGCCTAGCTGAAGACTCACTCACCCATTTTGATTTAAATGTGTTGTCATACTTCGATTATAAAGGTATCACTTGTTAGGGTGTTTTTAAATACCAGATACTTTTAGAATTTTTAATGGTGGGCACGATGTGATCTAGTACACCAATTTGTAAACTATGAGTCAGTCCTTTGTTAGAACATAATTAATCATTTTCTTAACTTTCGTTTATTCATATTTCAATATTTTCTATGTTTTCGGACATTTTTTCGCGTTCATTAGTATATTTTGTATTCATCTTGATCGAACGGACTCCTAAGTTATTTGAGATCAAGACTTTTTCGCTTCGCTAATCTCTGCTGATGCCATTTCGGCCTAACAATATATGGGCTCGGTTCTGCAGAAGCTGGCTTCCACGAGCCCAACGTGTCAGACCTACATGCACAATTCCTCAGTAATGAAGTCACTATCACGTGATTTCAACACGTGTGTCACACCTAGTTTGTTTGCTAGTGATGTCTATGAACATTACGAAACTTTAAAAAAGGCTAATCTTAAGCGTGGATATCTTACCAACGGACAACGGTCAGACAAACTCTCTAACAACATCTATCTACAACATAGTTCAGCAATAGGCGTATCCAACTAGGCAGTCGCTGGAGTCTTGCAGTTATGGATAAATAACACCTGGCGACCGTTGGCATTATTTTCCAGATGATTGCAAGACACCGAAACCACGTATAGCAGTTTCGGCAGGAAACAAGAGCCATAAATTTTACTAAACGGCACTGTCAACACTCCGTATAAGGCCGCGAATTGACTCTGTTTACTGACCATAAACCTCCTATATTTTCTCGAAACCCGAAGTCTGACATTTACACCGCACAAGAAATTCGACAAATGAACACCATTTCCCAGTTCCCTTCAGATATGCAACACAGCTCTAGGACAAATAGTGCAGTGTGGACACCATGTCTCATACAGCTTCCTTGAACGGTTTCCAAGAAATCGACCTTCTTTAACTCACCTAGCCTCAAAAGGAAGACATATATTCTCAGCACGAGTTATCTTCAACAACCCTAGGGCCGCGTATTAAACAGATGAGAGCAGGTAGGAAAACTTAACTATATGACTCATCTACAGGTAAGGGTCGTCCAGTCGTGCCTAAACATTATCGACGTAATGTCTTCAATACGTTGCACAAACCTCATTCAGTTGTTTGTGCAACCATCAAGCTCATAGCAAAACGGTTTGGCTGGCCTGGTATGAATAAATATATGAGGGAGTGTGCACGCTCCTGTGTACGTTGCCAAAAATTCAAGGTGGATTGAAACAATAAATGTCCCTCAGGCTCTTCCAAAACCTCCTATGCCCACTTCGACTCTGTTCGTCGGGATTTGGTAGGACCCTAACCAGATTCATATGGATACTCTCATCTCATGACTTGCGTAAACCGTTTCACTCGATGGCCAGAAGCAGTGCTCATCAAGGTCTAACTGCTGAAACAGTGGCCCGTGTCTTCGTCGAACGGTGGATAGCAAACTTCGGCTGCCTTCAGCTATCACTACAGACAGTGGACACCAGTTCGAATCCGAACTTTTCCGTTATCCGACTACACTACTGAAAATCACATAATTCAGAATGATCGTCTACCACCCACAAGCAAACACTTTAGTAGAACGATTTCACCGTCAGCCTAAAGCTTCACTCTTAAATACAAACGGTTCACGGTGGGCCGAAGCTCTTCCATTCATCTTACTCAGTGTTCACAATGCAGTGAATGTTGACGCTGGATACACTGCTGCTCAACTCGTTTATGGGATGACACTCTGACTTCTAGGAAAACTCCTGATCCTTCATCTTTTTCGGGGAATATAGATCTAAACTCCTACACAAGCAGGTTTACAAACACAATGATTTCAGTTAAACCTGATTCCGACTGGCCACAATCAACTGATATTTTCGTTTAGCCTGTCCTACAACATAGTATACACGTATTTGTACGTCGCGGCTGACTTCGACGACCAATCGAAGCGGCATATGAAGGACCCCTGACAGTCTTTCAGAGTGAATCTAAGTACTATATAATCGACAAGAACGGAATTAAGGACAACTTCAGCATCAAAGCCCCATATTTAAAAGGAAACCCTATTCATGTCGATTTTCCTTCGGTACAATAAGAAGACATGAATCGGACATTTGCGATACCTCATTTGATAATTAACAATCACGATTATTATTATTATTTACAAACATCTATTGGGTATATAAGTATTGTGAAGAAACCGTTTCGGGTTTCTTCAGAAATGCAATAATACGCAAGTTTCAATAATGTTAGCACTATATTTGCTATATTTGAAAAAGAGAATAATAATGATAAATCAGGTTCTGCGTAATCAGGAAGGATACTGAATTGAGTTTAAAGAAAGAAAGGAAGAAAATAAGGGAATAGGAATAGGGGAAACGTGAAATGTGTAAATAGTTTAATGTGTGTATTTATGGACGCAGAACAAGAA